ACATTTTTAGAGAAAATAGAAAAGCAGAAATATCAGATAAATTATGATTTATTCCCATAAAGTTACATCAAATGTGCCTGCCTCTCCTGCTTCCCCTTCCACCGCCACTACCTCTTTCACCTTTGCTATCTCTGAGACCAAACCCTCATCCTCCTCATCCACCTCAGCCTAGTTAAAGTGAAGACAAAGATGAAGGCTTTTATGATGATCCACTTCTACTTAATGAATAGTAAATATATTTTATTTTCCTTATGATTTTCTAATAATATTTTCATTTCTCTATCTTACTGTATTGTAAGAATACAGTAGCTGGGAATGGTGGCTCACATCTGTAATCTCAGCACTTTGGAAGGCCAAGGTGGGTGGATCACGTGAGGTCAGGAGTTCAAGACTAGCCTGGCCATCATCAAAAATCAGCCATACATGATGGCACAGGCCTGTAATCCCAGCTTCTCAGGGAGCTGAGGCAGGAGAATTGCTTGAACCCAGGAGAAGGAGGTTCCAGTGAGTCAAGATTGCACCACTGCACACCATCCTGGGCAACAGAGTGAGACTCTGTCTCAGAAAAAAAAAAAAAAAAAAAAAAAAAGAGAGAGAGAATAATGCATATAACAAAATAACACACACACAATATGTATAAATCGTTTATGTTACTATTAAGGCTTACTAACAACAGTAGGTTATTAGTAGTTAAGTTTGGCGCGATTCAACAGTAACAGGAAGGTATTTGACTCCACTGGTGGGTCACTATTCCTAAGCCCTGTCGCTTTGCAAAGCTCAACTGTAAATTCAAGTTCCTTTTTTTTTTTTTTTTACCATTTTTGAAAACTTTGACCAATGTCCAACATTGCAACGCTACAATAATTAGAAGAAAATTTTTCCACTAGAAATGAATTAATAACTGAAGTTCTGAATATGCAGCATGAACTAATCCTGGTTTTAAAAATCCCTAATGGGCTTTGTAGCAATGCAATTTGGCAAAGTGAGTAAAATCCTCACATAATAGATAAAGGTAATTAGAGATGCAGAACAAATTCTTTTTAAATGCCCTGAATGCTATTCGGACACTTTACTTCCTTCTTCAGAAATGGGAAACTAGTGAACGGAAGAAATGAGACAAATCAAGAAAAGAATATGGGAAAATCAAACTATATCAACCTCAAAGGGATCTGGGGCTTGAGAGTTGTTAGAATTCCTTCTAGCTATTTTGACTTTCCAAAATTTCCCAAGAAATGGGCCAACTTGCAATTAGTGAATCTCTCTATTTAGAAATAGCCTAACTTCAATTAGCTTGCCAAAATGGGGGATAAAAACTAAAAGAAAGTCAGCAGGTGAATGTTTACGGATAATGAATACTTTTTCCATGGCTACACAATCTCTTCTCATAACTAACAGCGATCATTCCAAAGAAGTACACATTTGTCTTCAGTGTATGAAGAATAAATTGGTTTTATATCAAAAATAATCACCTGATTAGACTTCAAACTGAAACTTATCTTTACAAAAAAAATGCATCACTTGGAGCTACATCCATAACTGGTCTACTTGAAATTCAACAGCAAAACAGAGAGAAATAAAAGAATGGAACAGAATAAATGGAATTTAGAATCAAGGAGTACCAGAAGTGAAATGTCCTTAAAGGCCACACAATCTACCACCCAAACCAATGTCAGCTTAAAGAAGCAGAGCCCCAAGAGGCCACTCAAGTGTCTGAAAGCCAACCAGTATACACAGGGAAAAGCTGAGTCCAGAATGAAATCCTCAGTTTTCCAGCTCAGTTTTTTTTTCTACTGCAGAATCAGGCCTGTTTTCCCACAAGCAGCTGCAGAGGCCCATGGATATGCTGAATTACTAAGCAAGTGATGGCCAGACTACCAAGGATGGCATGAGAACTTGCTGGAGATATTTTCTTAGCATAGTTTGCTCGTTGACTTATACAACAATAAATAAGTGATTTCAAATTCCTTGTCTCTTTTTACTGTTTTTTACTTAAATTCTATTTTGTCTGATGTAAGTTAATTATCCCTGCTCTCTTTCAGTTCCCATTTGCATAGGAAGCCTTTCTCCATCCCTTCTCTTTCAATTTGTTTCATTATTAGTAATGTGAGTCTCTTGTAGGTGTCATGTGGTTAGATCTTGTTGTTGTTTTTTTTTTTTATCCATTCAGCCACTCTATAGCACACAATTTGCTCCCAGCTCATGAAAGGCAATTCTGAGCAACTCAGTTTCTACTTGGCTTACTGGGCATTGGTTTAGAGATATAATTCAAAAAGCTCTCTCCCCAAGGATAGTCAAAAGTAGCTTATCTCTCGTTACCTCTTCCAATTTCTCTGACACCCCTTCTAGTCACACTTTTTAAAAATTTAATATTTAAACATTTATTATTGCTATATTTGATTGACAAATCATTATATACATTTATGGGAGATAATGTGATGTTTTGGTACATTTTACACAATATGGTATGATTAAATCAAGCTGATTAACATATCCTTCACCTTGCTTACTCATCAATCTCCATGGTAAGACACTTGAAATTTATTCTCTTAGTTACTTTGAAATATATAATACATTATTATTGACTATAGTCACCTTGTTGTGAAATAGATATTAAATCCTACTCTTCCTGTCTATTTGAAGTTGGTAACCTTTGATTAGCAACTTCACATTTCCTCCCTCCCCAACCCTTACCCTTACCCCAGCCTCTGGTAACCACTGTTCTACTCTCTACTTCTGTGAGTTCAAAGTACAGTCATATAGTATTTGTCTTCTGTGCCTGGCTTACTTCAGTTAGCCTCATGTCCTCCAGATTCATCCATGTTGTCATAAGTGACAGGATTTCCCCCTTTTGTAAGTCCAAAGAACATTTTATTATGTATATATGTATCTATACCACTATTTTTTAATTCATTCATCCATTGATGGACACTTAGGTTGCTTTCATATCTCGCTATTGTGAATAATGCTGCAATAAACATCCTTTAGACACTGATTACAGTTCCTCCGGATATATACCAAGAAGTAGAATTACTGAGTCATATGATATTTCCATCTTTAGTTTTTGGACGAAGCTCCATAATATTTTCCATAATGTTTGCATTAATTTAATTCCCAAGGATAATATACAGAAGTTCCCTTTTCTTCATATCCTCTCCAACACTTACCTTTCATCATTTTGATAAAGACATTCTAAAAGGTATGAGGTGATAACACTATGTGATTTATTTTTATTTGTTTTTTTTTTTTTTTCAGAGTCAGAGCCTCACTATATTGCTCTGGCTGTTCTCAAATAATCCTCCTGTCTCAGCCTTCCAAGTGGCTGAAATTACAGGCACATGCCACCATGCCTGGCTTTTTCACTGTGATTTCATTTTTTTCTAACATTTTGTGATGCTGAGCATTTGTTCTTGTACCTATTGACCATTTACATATCTTCTTTTCAGAAATGACTGTTCGAGTACTTTGCCAACATATAACTTGGATTGTTTTCATGCTATTGAGTTGTTTGAGTTCATTGTTTATTTTAGATGTTAATCTCTTATCACATGTATTATTTTTATTCTCATAAATTTGTTAAGATTCGTTTTGTGGCCTAATGTGTAATCTATCTGGAGAATGTTCCATATGTACTTGAAGAGAATGTGTACTTTACCATTGTTGGATGGAATGTTCTGTACATATTTGTTAGGTCTATTTGATATACAGTATAATTCAATTCCAGTGTTTCACGATCTGAGCATTGTTTAAAGTGTGGTGTTGAGATTCCCCTACTATTACAGTATTGCAATCTATCTCTCCCTTCAGATCATTGAATTATTTATACATGTAATTCAGTGCTACAATATTTAGTGCACATATATTTACAATTTTTATGTCTACTTGATGATTTAACTCATTTGTCATTATGTAATAAACTTCCTTGTATCTTTTTATTGTATTTTTGTACTTAAATTATATTTTGTCTGATATAGATTAGTTAACCCTCCTCTCTTTTCGTATCCATTTTTATGGAATAATATTTTCCAACCCTTCTCTTTAGCTCATGTGTCCTTCCTGGTAAGGTGAGTCTCTTATAGGTAGCATGTGGTTAGATAATATTTATTTTTTAATCTAGTCAGCCACTCTATATCATTTTATTGGAGAATTCAATCCATATATATTCAAGGTAATTATTGAGCTAAGAACTTGCTACTGTCTTGTAATTTGTTTCCTGATTGTTGTTTAGATCCCTTCTTTCTTTTTTTTTTTCCTCTCCTGCTGTTTTCTTTTGTTGTTTCACGATTTATATGGTAATATGCTTTAAAGCCTTTATTTTCCATTTTGTTAAACTTCTATAAGTTTGCACTTTTGGGGTGGTCATGAGGCTTACATAAAATATCTCATCTTTTCATATGCCTTCTTCACTCTTTTTCATTTTTGATTTTTACTACTTTAATTGGATAATTTCAAATGTCCTACATTTAAACTCACTGATTTTTCTGCTGCTTAAGTCTGCTTTAAAGTTTGTTTGTTTGTTTGTTTGTTTATTATGAGATGGGGTCTTACTCTGTCACCCAGGCTAGATTGCAATGGTGCAATCATGGCTCACTGCAGCCTCAACCTCCAGGGCTCAAGCAATCCTCCCACCTCAGCCTCTGAATATCTGGTACTACAGGCATATGTCATTATGCCTGACTAAATTGTGTATTTTTTTGTAGAGACAGGTTTTCTCCATATAGCTCAGGCTGGTCTTGAACTCCTGAACTCAAGTGATTAGCATGCCTCAGCCCCCCAAAGTAGTGGGATTTCAGGCATGTGCCACCATGCCCAGCCTGCTTTGAAGCTTTTTATTGACATTTTTGGTTCAGTTGTTATATCCTTTATCACTATGACTTCCATTTGATATTTTTTTTGTTTCTTCCATTCTTTCGTCAAATTTTTCATTTTGTTTATAAACTGTTTTCCAAATTTCGTTTAATTTTCTATCTGTATTTTCTTGCAATTCCCTGAATTTCTGTTACAGGATTATTCTAAATTCTTTGTCAGTGATTTCATAGATCTCCATTTATTCTGGGTCTATTATACAAGCTTTATTGGTTTCTTTTGTTGGTGCCGTGTTGCCTGAGTTTTTATCTTGTATCCTTATATCGGTGCCTGTGCATTTGAGGAGAAGCCCACATCTTCCAGCCTTTGCAGGTGTTCTTTTGGTGGCTATAGTTCTTTACTATTTAGTCTACCCTGAGATTCTAGATGGGTAGCTGGCAGCCTTTGCTTAGTGTCAGGTTCTATAATTGGGCTGGGTTGTTTCTTGTGCTCTGAGATCAAATAGTATTGCTGGCTGTGCTCTGTGATCAGTGAAATCACTAACTGAACTTTGCCATCAGGTGAGGCTGCTGGTTGGGCTCTGCAGTCATGTCTGATTAGGTAGAGTTGCAAGTTGTCTTCCCTGACTCGGCAGCACTGTGGCTTGGAACCTGTGGTTGGGCATGGCCCTATGACAGGCTCCCATACTAGGTGAGATTTCTGTGGTTTTTATGCAGCCAGGCAAGATGGACAAGGCCAGATGATATGCCCTATAGATATTTGTGGACTTGGGCTTACCTACTGGTCTAGGGTAGAGTAGAGCACCAAGGTTTGGTGGTGGCCAGATGCTCTTCCCATGGGTAATCATTGACCTGAAGCTGCCTCCTGACATGGGAAAGACGTAATAAAAGCATCAGGGCTTAGTTGAATCACCTCTCCACTGCTAGGTTTGGGCAGGACCAGATACTGTGTCCATGAGTAATTACTGACATGCAGTTGCTTCCCTCCCAATGTGGGCAAGATTTCATGTGAGCACCAGAGCTTAGTTGGATTACCTCTCCATTGCTAGTGTCAGGCAGATCCTCCCTCCATAGATAATCATTGGCTTAAGAGCACATGGGCTATGTGGGAAAGCTTACTAGCAATTCAAGCCTAGAAGACTTACAGACGGTGTTTCCTACAGCATGACACTGTTGGCTAGTTTCTCTGGTGTGGCACTTCTGTTGGCTAGAATGTAGAACCACCACCCAGATCTGTGTGCTGGTAGTTGTGAGCACCACCCCCATTCTTTGTTTCTAACTGACCCCAGATGGTCTAGCCCTACCAATACTCCCAATGTCTCCTGTGGGATTGGCGTTTCTTTGAAGGGTCCCAAAATGGTGAGGAACCTGAATGCCCACCTCAAACTCACTTTTTCCAATGTAGAAATCATAGATCCAAGTGAATTCTCTGTACATAGTTTTGTACCAGTTTAGGAGAGGTGCAGCATGGTCAAAAAGAACAGTTTCTCTTACCATTCAGTTGTGGCTTTTCTCAGTTCTGCAGTCCAAGGGGTTGTCTCAGCCTCACTCCCAAGTTCGTGAATATTTGGGATGGTATTCCGGCCTGTGGATAGTTGCTTGTTGGATTTCTGTGAGGGGAGTAAAGTTAAAACAAACAAACAAACAAACTCCTATTCCAGCTTCTTGCTTGTGTCACTACGGGAAAATGGTCACACTTTCTTAAAGCCATGTATGTTGATTATATTTGACACACAGAGTGAAATGCTGCCCTATTTTTGATGATAATGTCTTCTAACAGTTGTCAAGACTAATTTGACAGAAGGCTACAGTAATTTCTAACTCCAAAACAGCTTTTTCATTTTTATATAAAACTTTGGGACCTCATAAATAGTTATTATTTTTTTATTTTTTCTTTAAAAAATGACATACTCACTAAATTGTGACTTATATTTCTAATGTTTCTGATTTTTTTTTCAAGATTATACTGTCATATCAAATTTGCTAACTGTGCAATCACAGAACTTTCACCTGAGTGGATTACAAACACCAAAATGTAGCTAGATAGAAAACTGCTTATAATGTTGATAGCCTCATTGTCAGATTCATGGATAAGGGAATAAATCTGTGGATTCCCCTGCCCTTCTCCTGGGGTAAGGCTGACTCCTTACCCCAAGGAATGGGTGAAACCCCCTTCCCTAGGGCTCACCCAGAAAGACATCTTCAGTAAGAAGCTTAACCTGTATACAGCAGTCCTTACAATTCTTTGCTCTGGATTAAGAAAAACAAATTGTTTTTTCTAGATCCCTGAATAAATATAATTGATCAATTAGCTTGATTTTTATCCTTTATCTCATATAATAGCAAATTGAATGCTACCCAGAAAGCTTATTGGATTCATCTATCATTTCCCCTGAAGAAAATTTAATGTTATTTACATATTCATAGAACCCTAGAAATTGAGCTTATGCAAAGCTTCATCTGAAACCAATTACTACTTTTAAACAAAACTATAGCCAAACATTCAGGACAATGGTTATCTTCCAAATGCTACAGAATGTCCTAGCATGAATGACATAATTGTCCCAGGGAGACCCAGGGAAAGGTGTTTGCCTAAAGATAAATTAGCCTCATCTTGCAGAGAATAGGTTGGAAAAATCCACAGGTCTTTTCCTCATCCATGAGTCTAACAATGAGACTACCACTCTGTCAAGTAGTTTCATATCCGTCTAGCTGCAGTTTGGAGTTGACAGGCCACAGAGGTTGAAGTCTTATGATTATATAATTTGTGGTATTATATAACAGCATAAATTCAAAAAGTCACCAAAATATGAGTGTTATTATTTCATGAGTGTATCATGTAGGTGTTGATATCTTATCTTGAAGCCAACTAAAATGGGTCTATTCTAAAATCATCAGTGATAAAGGTATCAAATAGGAAGAAAAGCACCCCAGGTCAAAAGAGGCAAACTGATTAAAATAACTTTACTATATGGTATAGAGCTCAGAGATAGAAATGTTTTGCTTCTAGAAAAGAAACATTATATTTTAAATTAATTTCTCCCAGATTTTTCCTATTGCTAAATCAGAAAATAGATATGGCTTATATGTCAGTGATAACAGATAAAGATAACTGTGAAATTGTCAGGAGGTAAAATATCTCGAACTCATTGCATTAAGTCTGGGATTTAGATGGACAGTGCTAAGAGTAGTGAAGGAAGGTAATTTTTTTTTTTGTCATTCTTGTGCAAATAAAATCTCTGTCACCAAAGGTAGTGAATTTTTAAACATTTATTTAAAAGATGGTTTTGTAACCTGTATGTTTTAAAGAAATAAACATTTGCTATTAGTTTAATAAAAGTTGCTTATGCCCCCATGAGTCCATAATTATTTTATATACATAATTTTTAAACTCAGTATGATTATTTCAGTGAAAAACATACACTAGCATAATATAGTTTAATATAGTCTTATGCAGTCTTTATTTTTTTTTATTTATTCATAAAACTGGCCAAGACCATGATTTTCTGTTGGTATTCTCACTAAATCTTTCTGCAATTTAAAATGAATCAATTCCAAAAAAGACTTCCTAGAGAAATTACTCTTGTTAAAACTTTCAAGATTCATTTTTAAGAGGGTAGGTACTTGAATGAATCTATATATAAATAGATCTCAATTATGGCTGTGCTAGAATTATGTGGGGGAACTTTTGAGAAATGCTGATGCCTGGGCCCCATTCTAAAACAGCTTAGGAATCTCTGAATTTAGGACATGGGTATGAGCGTTTTTTAAGCTCCACAGGTGATTCCAATCCACATCTGAGGACCCCTGCTAATTTGTAACGTGACATGACATGCCTGGCTAATAGGGTTCTTTAATGTTTCACCTTCCACCACAGATATCATTAGAGGAAGTAGCCTGCTAAATATTGATGTTGCAGTCACAGACTTGAACATGAACAGTTAGAAATCAACCCTTATACTTGTATGTTGGGGACAAAAGTGGCCAGAAATATTCTGACAGAGAGTGCTCTATTAAAAAAAAAAAATTACATGAGCAAATTTTCTCAAATTAAAAATTGTTCTCCTTTGCACATGATGTAGTTTTGCTTTAATTTTCTTTTTCTCTACCATTGACAACTTCAAGAATGAAAACTACCCCAAATAACCTCCCAAGAACATTAAGTCACCAAATAAAAAATGTTTGTGTCGATCACATGTCAACTGGCATTATTACTTTTAGCCAACCTGGGAGTTATAAAACATGGAAAGTGTTAGTAAAGGCTGAAAGTCTATTAAGAGAAACACACTCATGCTTCCATATAGTAAAAGAGTTTCCCGAAAAAGAGAGAATCCTTTATTAAGTACTTCACTATAAATTTTAAAAAGTAAAAAGCCCTAATCAGTATATTTAGCAGTTCCATTAGTGCTATTTGAAGTAGCTGACTTTCCGTTAGCTGATGAATATTATTATTCCAGGATGGAATAACATTAAAAAAAAAAAAAAGGGAAAGAAAAGAAGGATATGTTGCTTTGGGTTGCTTTTTTTCTTTTTCTTTTTTTTTTCAAATAACTTGTTAGCTAAGCAAAATAAAGTTCAGTTTAGAAACAACACATTTTAAAGAACACAAGAAACATTTATATCTTGGAGTTTATGTTGCCGAATCAAGTTTTATAAACTCTCTTCTATATTAATTTTGGTAACAAGGATTTGTTTATGCAAAGTCATATATGTGGGACAAAAATATAAAAAAAATTATACCCTCTCCCTGACAACCCATATTCCTAATGAAGAGACTTCACATGTGACAATAATTTCTGATAATCCAATTATGGAAGTAATTACAAACGGCTATTGAGAAGGGTTATGGGATTGTTTAGTATAAGTTTGGCTTATTGCACCTTACAAGAAGAATGTAGGCCATTATGTTACACTTGCATAATTTGCAACCACATTTTAGCTGTAAACAGGTATAAAGAAAAGAAAACTAGGACAAGAAATTGTTTAAAAGGTCTGGCTGCCAACAAACTGAGAGCATGCTGTCCTCCTTTGATGCTATGGAGGCATCAACAGCAATATTGAGAGAGTGGCCGCTGTTTCATAAGGCATTTTAAAAAGAGCCAAACTATGACTACATTACTTATCTTAAGAAAAACAATTTGTTAGACTAAATTCCTGCTTCTGCAAATTGCTCTGAGCCTTTGGAGATTTAGAACTGCTCTTTACAGCTGAATACGGCTTAGCTGGCTATTAAGTGATGGAAAATAATACAATATTTTAGTGCCTAAAAGAATAACTGAGTACATGTGCAGGGGTAAGTCATTAAATGTGGATATTCAAAAGGTGATACAAAAGTAACCCACACAACAGAAAATGTAAAAGCAAAAGTATTTCTAGATTTAGGATACCGTCATAACTCTATTCACCAAACCAAATGAAGTAAGCAGGCTAGAAATGGAGAGGAGAATATCTGCTTAGAAGTATCAAAGTCATGGTAGGATTTAGTTCCCATCCTAATGAAGATTCAAGGAACAGCGCAACAGGGCTGTCCTAGACCTCAACTATAAGGCACATTCCCAGGGGAACACTATGCAGGAATACATCACACAACCCATAAGAGGCTCTTCAGGGAAGGTGCCAAAGCAATGTTAACTTTTTAAAAAGAAGAGGGCTGGGCGTGGTGGCACATGCCTATAGTCCTAGCTACTTGAGAGGCTGAGGCAGGACAACTGCTTGAACCCAGGAGGTGAAGGCTGCAGTGAGCCAAGATAGTGCCACTGCACTCCAGCCTGGGCAACAGAGAGAGACTCTATCTCAAAAAAAAGAAAAGAAGTCTGGCCAAAAGAGAGAGAGAGAGAGAGAGAGAGAGAGAGAGAGAGAGAGAGAAAGTATTAAGAAAGAAAAACTGTAATTACTCATTTGGTGCAAAAAACACTTGCACTCAGTAACACAGGTATAGCTTTTTGACAAATGGTACCCCTCATACAGCCCACATAGTACAAAGACATCAAAATGTTTCTCTTTCCTTGAACCAGGGCAGAAGACTGCAAAGAGAAAATGAGGAAATGTAACATTGTCAGTAAAAAGAGGTGAATTTTCATCAGGGCAAAGAATTAGAAGATTTGAAACAAGGGCTTCAGTATAGAGAGGAGTTTGCCCATGGGGAGAAGGATGCACAGAAATGTGATCACAGAACTGAGATCTGAGGCACAGCGAAGGCCTGGTGAGATGTCGAAGAGCTGAGTGAGTTCCAGCGAGGGGAACAGAAAGAGAAGGCTTTGTGCCCACAGTGCCGGGGAAAAGGCATCAAGCTGAGAGATGTAATGAGTTGGGAGACAGGCACACATATGTTTGAAATAAATATCATTTTGGAGCTCTATTTTTGTTAGGCAATGGGAAAGACGGAGAAAATTTAGGAATGGGAAAGACATCGTTAGGGTTGAGCATTAGAAAGATTAATCTCACAAATTGAGGAAGGACTTAATCTATGGGGAAGAAAATCAGCAATAGAGAAGTCCACTGAAATACACGCTTTCAGGCAAGAGAAAACTGAGGCTACACTGGTGGCAATAGAAAAGGAAAAAGGCAGCGGTAGTAAACTAGAGTGTGCATATATCTAAAGACATAATTTGTTTTAAGAGGTATCAAAGAGTATTGCAGATATTTCCAAGACTATATGAACTCCATTTTAGCTGACAGTGGGGTTCAGAGAATCACCGGAGGATGTGCTCCCTTTCATTATTAACGACCCCACCAACAGTAACAACTACAACACACACGTGAATGCACAAGCACATCAATACCTACACAGAATCTCACAGATCAATGCCAATGCAGAAATAAATATTTGTAAGCTTCAATCTGGATCTAATGTATAACATGAGACACAGCAGACTCTCTCACTAAAAGATCAAAAGATTAAATACCAGGATGTCACTACTGTCTTCTCAAAAAGGCCCTCCATCACAGGTATTTTGTAGAGTGAGTGGAGAAAGTACAGATCCACCTCAATAAAGAAAAGGCAGGACATGCCTGTAATCCCAGCATTTTGGGAGGTCAAGGCAGGCAGATCACTTGAGGTCAGGAGTTCAAGGCCAGCCTGGCCAACATGGTGAATCCCCATCTCTACTGAAAATACAAAAGTTATCCAGGTGTGGTGGCGGGCACTTGTAATCCCAGCTATTTGGGAGGCTGAGTCAGGAGAATTGTTTGAACCCAGGAGGAGGAGTGTTCAGTGACCCAAGATCATGTCATTGCATTCCAGCCTGGGTGACAAAGCAAGACACCGTCTCAAAAAAAAAAAAAAGAAAAAAAAAAAAAAAAAAAAGAAAAGGTAGTTATTTATAATGTTCATATGCTTGGATCTTTAACTGCATAATTGATGAGAGTGTGTTCTATTTCTACCATAAGAGTAGTCAGAATCCTGAAATTTTTTTTATTCTACAGGCCAAGTCTATAGATTCCATTTTCTACTTTAGTTTGAATTTGCTCTAGCTAATTGGAAGCTAGGGATCTTTTGCCAGCGGTAGAGCCAACAGCAACTGCAGCCTGAGCCTGTCTCTACCTCAATGTCTTTCTGAAGCCAAGCAAGGTCACTGCATATCTGTTCATCATCAGAGCATGATACATGTGTCTAGAGGTAGCTGGGTTAAAGGTAGAAGGGAAGAGTCACTGATGTCTCTTGAGGTTTATGGGAGTAAAAGACCTGATTACTAACTGGCCGCGGAAACTGATTCTACCACATTTTACATTTGGAATCTGTGTTCATTAATCACCACTGTGACTTACAACAAAAGTACAATGCTGACAAGTTTTCTCTTCATTGCAAAGGGTCAGTCCACTTGGGAGCAATTTGCCACCCACATAGAATTTACATTATTTTTACATTCTCTGGATACTGAACATCACTGTATCTCAGAAGCAACTGGTTCTTATTCTCAACATCGTCTCTCCCCACTATAATACAGACTCACCAAGGTACAGGTGAACAACTGAATGAAATACCAAATACTCCTTTTGAGTTTATTTACCTTCCTCTTTCAGAAACACCCAAGGAAAAATACCTTAACTCAACTCTGTAAGCATCAGTCACCATTTACATAACGAATGAGTACACAGGCTCTGAGTGCACACAGCAACATCAGAATTCAGCACACTCCGTGACCTCCTCCGAGTAGCTCAGCAGGGTGAAGTTCTGCTGGAGCTTGAGAGAGCCTCCTAGGCTGGCAGTCATAGCAGGGAGTCTGGGACAGGGCAGAAACTGGATTTCTTCTGGGCTGTAAATCCTGGCTCTTTCTTAGAGTAAATAATCACTCACTACTGGTGACAATAACTGGCACCCACCATACTAAACAAAACAACATTTAGTGGTGGATTATTTTTAAAGGACATCCGATAACCACAGACAGACAGGTGGGAAAATGATGAGATGTTTATCAAAGGTTACCAAGCTTTGTAAGATGAATATAGGATGAATAAGTGTAGAGATTTAAGGTACAGCATGATGACTATAGTTGATAATACTGTATTGTGTCCTGGAAATTTGCTGAGAGTAGATTTCAGGTGCTGTCATCACCAAAAAAACAATGTTTGACCCAGCAATCCCATTACTGGGTATATATCCAAAGGATTACAAATCGTTCTACTATAAGGACACGTGTACACGAATGTTCATTGCAGCACTGTTTACAATAGCAAAGACCTGGAACCAACCCAAATGCCCATCGATGATAGACTGGATAGGGAAAATGTGGCACATATACACCATGGAATATTATGCAGCCATAAAAAACGATGAGTTTGGGTCCTTTGTAGGGACATGGATGAACCTGGAAACCATCATTCTCAGCAAACTGACAGAAGAGCAGAAGATCAAACACCGCATGTTCTCACTTATAGGCGGGTGTTGAACAATGAGAACACATGGACACAGGGAGGGGAGCACTACACACTGGGGTCAGTTGGGGGGAAATGGGGGAGGGACGGGGGGGGGTGGGAAGGTCGGGAGAGATAGCAAGGGGAGAAATGCCAGATGTAGGTGATGGGGAGGAAGGCAGCAAATCACACTGCCACATGTGTTCCTATGCAACAATTTTGCATGTTCTTCACATGTACCCCAAAACGTAAAATGCAATAAAATAAATAAATGGGAAAAAAAAAAAAACAATGTTACTATTTGAGGAGATTAATATGTTAATTTGTTCTACTGCAATAATCTTTCACCATGTGTACCTAAATCAACACGTGTATACTATATACATATATATATATATACTTTTTATTTTAAAAATAATAATACATAAATTTATATCCCTAACCACTGAAATGACCAACTATTTTTTAAATAAGGAATAATCTGTTTATATCTTTCACAACAAAAAAGAACAAGGATTTTTTGCTAGATATAAAGCAGATAGAGTCAGACTGGGGAAAATTACCTTAACAAAGACATTATAAATGTGAAGAAAGCGTGCACCTGGGAAGGTTGAGGAAGTGATCCCAGCTTGCTACTGACCATTAGGTAACAGTGTCAGGGTGGTGATGAGTGTGGCCAGGGCCCAACCAGAGGCACATGTGACTTTTGGGGGGCACAGCAGGAGCTGGAGGGCACTGTG